AGAATAGAAGTTAGTCAAGTGAAGAAGGGAAAATGGTGTATCTAGGACTAGGAACAGCAAATTCCTGAACTAGAGCTTAGGTCTTTGTTGCCCTACATCTGGTCTCATTCCTCTGTTTCTGTTTAACAGTTGGTATAAAGTAACGCATCTAATAATATGAGATTTGAAATCCAAAGGATGTGGTCTAAGTCTTAATTTTAAATTATCACTTCTAAGTACATGATCTTGGGCCTTCAACTCCCTTATCTGTAAATTAAGGGTACTATGTCACTCATAGGACTATTGTGAAGATGATTGTAATAATATATGTGAAAGCATTTGAGAATAGCAATTACATGGATAATAGTTGGACATTTATGAAATTTTGCTTTAAAATTTAAATCTAACTTGCTTATCAGACATACTAGACATGCTGTTGATATTTTATAAGTAAATCCAATCCACATTTTATAACCGGAGGGGACAGGTATATGCGTACACAAAGAACGCAATGCACACCATCGGAGAGATGGACACGCTTGAAACTGGGACTTGGGGGGAAGGGGGGAAAGGGTAACATATGTAACCTAAACATCTGTACCCCTATAATATGCTGAAATAAAAAAAAAATAAAAAATGTAATCATGTTTTAAATTCGCACTGGGAGCAGGAGGGGATTGTGTTTTAAGGAATGCTGCAGTCATTTGTCTGCTATTTCTCAGATCAACAATAACCTCTGATTTTTCAGTTAGTATTTTTGTGTAAGTCCACAAAAGTGCTGTTACTAGATATACATCTTATTTTTCCATGAACCATATCATTTTAGAAGTGTTCCATAATAGATAATTGTTCTTTTGAAGTAAAACAGCTCATTTTAATCTGAAACAGAGTGGGCTTCATTTATGTGGGGTCAATAGAAATGTATTTCTTTTCTTATGGGAATTGTTTTATACACCAACCTTAAAGAACAGGGGATTACTTGGTTGAATTCTTTAAAAATCCTTCTTTTGCCGGCCGGGTGCGGTGGGTCACGCCTGTAATCCTAGCTCTCTGGGAGGCCGAGGCGGGCGGATTGTTTGAGCTCAGGAGTTCGAAACCAGCCTGAGCAAGAGCGAGACCCC